ACAGGTGCTGTGGGAGAGGTCGATTGGACCGGAGCTGGCATTTTGGCATGTACGACGCACACATATTATCTGAAGAGGAGTGTAGATCATTTCGATCAAGTGGTTGCAGGTGCACCACGTGTGGTGTTTGTGAGTGGCAGTAACAGCGATCCACCTGCAACCTGCTATGTTGAGAATTATGGATAGTTCTAGGCACCTTTTGCAAGACGGGTTGGAGTCAGGGTTCGTTTTGCTGGCAACAGCAGTAGTGGTATGCGCGAAAGTTTTGTTGGCAACAGCAGGAGTATTCGCGAAACCATTCACCTCCCTCCAACGGTGTCTCCATGCATGCATTTGGTTTATGGTTTGCGGCCGATGCGTGTTAGATGTCTGGGGGTTACTCTCTGAAAAAGGGGAAGTCTAAGCCATGAGTCTCCGGGACGTCTGCGATTTGTTTGTGGATGGAGACGCAGACAGACACACAACGACACCACCCGCAGCAGCAGCAGCAGCAGCAGCAGCGGAAACAGCACTATTAGTCGACAACACCTCTGCTTGTATAGATAGACTATTCCAGCCCCGAACGAAGTCGCTGCCATGCCTGAATCAGAGGCAAGAGGGCACACGTTGACGACACGTTCACCACGAGACAAGGTGCTGCTCCGCCTCCAAAAATGCACACAAATAGCGGACTTCCTCTTGCTCCCACACGCGCTGTTGCCGTTTGAAATGTATCGCAGGCACCTCCAAGGCGAAGACCTTCATGGAGAAACCGTCGACCGTCCTAACCAAGTTCAAGAGCTACAAGGCCGAGTACACGAAAGTGTGGCTCTGGCTTGACACGTAAGTTTTGCGGGCAAGTCGGATTCTCAGCGCAGCGTATTTCCCTCTCTCGTGGCGTCGCACACTCCGAAAACCGGAAGACGAAAGCAATGCAACCCTAATTCCGTGTGTGCAAAATCGACGGTGCTTGACGTGAGGATCTTCGTAAAATCACGAGGGTTCTTCATGCCTGTGTTGGTCAAGCATGTGTGTGCGTGCGTGTGTTTGTCGTTAAGTAGTCTACACAAAACGGGAGGATGAAGACACACACGCACTTTCATTGGTCAGCCGGTTAGCGCGGTCGATGCCAAATATTAAAATACAAACACACAGCGACAGAGACATGGACAAGGGAGGAGGGAGACACACCACCGGGAGAGCGAGACGGGAGGGTGTGCCCTGTACTACTGCTGTTGGCTATCGGTGGAGTAAGCGAGAGAAGCGAAGAAGCGTTTGGTTGTTGTGCGTCGTTGTTGTTGCGCGCTTTTTGCCAGCAGCGTTTTTTTTTTCGCATGAATCAGCGAGAGAGGCCCTTCTTGGAAGAGAGAGCCACACCAACACGCTACTAGACGCCACCATTGATTGTGCATGCACTGCTGTGCACCTCATTTTACTTTTGTGCGAGGGCCTTCTGCTGTGGAGTGTCACCTGTGCCTTCCCTGCTAGTCTGGTCACCTATCAAACGCGTGCCTTTGAGTTGCCAATTCAAAAACAGGAAAGAAACGTTTAGATAACGGGCACATGTTGTTTTTCTGCTAGATGATTGCCACCCCCCCCCAGGATTCGAAACGCACCAGCCTACCGCAGGTATATAGCTTGTACTTCCCACCCTCTAGTTTTGCCCTGCGCAAAATGAATGACATGACGTAGTTGGGCGTGCCTCGTCGTAAACAAAAAATAACGAAGCCGGGACAGCGGCAACACTAAAGGTTGAAAACATGTTGCTACGCGTGGTCGAAAACACTGCTGTGATATAACTACGTAACCGCTCACCGCGAATGAATCCGTTTTGGTCCCTGTGCGTTTTTTTTTTTGTGTCAGGAACGACAAGAACACATAGTCTGAGCTGCCGTCTGGGACCAACACTCAGGACTCCCTAGAGGAGCTCAACGACGCCATGTGGTTCGAGTCGGACATGTACAAGCGGGACAAGGCTAGATCGGACAAGGCAGACGCTGAGGTTGCGGCTTTCTTCTCTCGGGGGGCGGCGGGGAGCGTCGACCCCGCCGGCTCCCCAGCCGGCTCCCCCGCTACCGGGGCAGGCACCGGGGAGAGCGTTGACAGAGCAGGGAGTCCACCTGCAGGTCAGTGACCGGCGGCGCAAGCGGCGTTGGCTGAGATGGAGGTCCGCCAGGAACCGAGAGGTACGCCGATGTCGTTGGCCGCCGCCGCCGCCGCCAAAATCCGCCGGGAACAGGAGCGAGAGCAGGATAGGGGCGGGGACGAGGGCGAGAACGAGGGCGAGGAGGTGCCTGAGTGGTGGGTCTTCCCCTTCCTGCTTCTCACAGCGGCGTACAGCCCGTGGAGCGGTCAGGCCCCGTCGGAGTGGAAGCACCTCGACTCTTCGGACGGGCCGTCTATAAAGCGGAAGGGCGGGGACGTCACCGTGGACTCTGAAAACCCCGTGTGCAGCCCCGCGGTGATGTCTCGCCTTAACCCCAACGGCGACGCTTTGAGCCGAAGCAGCAGGAGAGGAAAGCAGCGGCCGACAAGGAACTACAAGAAGCCCGGAAGGAAGCCCTTGAGACGAAGAAAAAGGGCCTGGCCGCCTTGGAGGCTGCGAACACACATATCGAAACCATAGGCGCGAACATGAAGAGGATGGTCGAGCTTAAGCAGGCGGAGGCTGTGGGCATCAAGCGTGAGAACAAGATCAAGGCTCTCGAGAAAAGAATTATGCTGCGTCTGGGGGATGAGACAGAGAACTGAGCGGAGCTCGAGTTCTTGCTAAACGAGTTTTTGTCATCCCATTACAGTTGTCTTGCGTGTTGGCATGTGATCGTTGTTCAAAGAAAGGCGGTTGCGTGTTCATCATCTCGGTGTATTTTTGAAACAAAAGGCGCAATAGAATACCAACTCTTTCGCACGCGACCAACATGCAGGGAGGGGGGAAGGGCGGGGGGGGGGGGTACTCATAGTCGTGCATGCCGTAGTCGTTAGACCATTGACCTCGCATCCCTACAAAGCCGGGACGGAGCACGCCGGGTTCTCACCGGACCAGGCTCTCACATCACCAAGCGCGAAGCGCCGTGAGATATTCGGCGAGTCGCATGAAGGGTGCGCTGCATCCTGCAAAGGGTGTTCGGCATCTTCTGCTTACTTCCTTGCGTACGGATGACAGCTGCGTATGAATTAATAAATTTTCTGGTGCTTTCACTTCCAGACACAGTTGTAAGCACTGTGTAACTGCCTCGAGG